AGGCTGGCTTTGAACTTGAGATCCTTCTGCCTCAGCCTCCTGAACTGCTGGGATTACAGGTCTGAGCCACTGTGCCCTGGAAATTTTAGTACATATTTTCCTCCATTTCTTCCAAATCTTACTAACATGACTTTCAAACAATAAGATGTAAATATAAAAGAACAAAAGAGGACTGGGAATAGAGCTCAGTGGTAGAGCACTTGCCTAGAACTGGTTCGATCCACARCACTCCATAAAAATAAATAAATGAGTAAAATAAAGGTATTGTGTCCATCTACAACTAAAAAAATTAATAAAAAATATAAAAGAACAAAGACTGAGCACAGCCAAACTATGGAAGCAGGCTAGATATTCATGGACAGATGAATGGATAAAGAAAATGTAGGATAGGGCTGGGGCTGGGGCTCGGTGGCAGAGCACTTGCTAAGCATGTGTGAGGCCCTGGGTTCCATCCTCAGCACCACATAAAAACAAACAAATAAAATACAGGCATTCTGTCCACCCATTACTACAAAAAAAATTTTTAAAAAGAAAAGAAAATATAGGGATATATACACAAAGGAGTTCTAGTCAAACATAAAGAAGAATGAAATGAGTCCTTTGCAGGAAAATGGATGGAATTTGAAAACATCATGTGAAGTGAAATAAGCTGAACCAGAAGGTTAAGGGTCACATTTTTCCTTCATACATGGAAGCAAGAAAGTAAAAAGAAGAAAGCCAAGGAGTCTCATGAAAATCAAAGGGAGACTAGAGGGGAAAGGGACCGGGGGCGGGAGAAGGACAGGGAAAAGAGTGATATTGGCCCAATTACATTGCTATGTCGTGGGCACACGCAGATGTGTAACCGTGATCCCGCCATCAAGTGTCATCACACTGCATCAGCAAAAATAGGAGGGAAAAGGACRAGTAAAGAGAGAACCCAGCAGAACCTTGGAATCTGTAAAACAAAGTAGCAGTGTGATTCGGAACTGTTGTTTCTTGATTCTGGCGTCTTCCTTTTTGTGAAGAAGAGCTGAGTCGGTGTAGCAGGGCCTTTCTCAGCGCTTTGTTCACGGRCTCTAAATGGACTGTTCCATCAGTTCCACCCCTTGCTCCTGAGAGGGGAAGCCTGCCGCCACCACTCTGCTCTGTGCCTTCACCCTGACGTCCCCCTCACCCAGGCCGCCTGATTCTCAGGGGCAGTTGCCGTCACACTGAAATTCATTCTCCAATCTGGCCCCTACAGGAAAAAAGTAGATATGTGGACATCCAGCTTTATTTTTTGCTTTATTTCTCAACCTGTTTGGGACTTGAAAGAAAAGGGAATGCCATTGTCGGGATCCCCTTSATCCCTCCCTAGTCCAGAGGTAATGGTCTTAGCAGAGAGGAGAAAATSGAAACCTCCCCACCAGAGGTTCAGSGTCAAGCTGATTTACATCCCATAACCCACAAAATTTCCAAGGCACTAAGAACTCTTGAGGTGAGGGTSAAGGTAGAGCTAAAACAGAAGATGGTCAAAGGTTTATTGAAAGAGGGAATTGCAGTTYCCAACTCTGGTCTACAGAGATCAAAGAGTTACTCTACACTCAACCGAGCCGCGTTGGATGGAGGGAGCAGAAGAAGTGAAAGTTTCTGAGAGAACGTGAGAAGCCTCCCTCTCCACCCCAACCAACGCTTTTCTCTCTTTCATTCATCTTATAATTGAAGGGTGACTTGAGGTCAAAAGTTAGAAGTTTCTTCTCTGAAGAGAATGGTAGGAAATGGCCAGATATGGTCATCCCTTCACCTTGCAGTCTACCAACCGACACCTTCCAGACCTGATCATAAACACCTGAGGGCTGCAGTCTGAGGTATGAATGAAAAGGCAAGGATCACCAAATATTTTAGAACCCAAMATAAACAAATTCAGAAAAGAACTCCGAAGAAACAGAGGCAGGGCAGGGAGCAGGAGGAAATAAAGAAAAGAATGTTATTTCATGAGACRGGGACTGTAGTTCTGTGGTAAAGCATTCTCATGCTGGGCGCAGTGGTGCACACCTATAATCTCAGTGGCTTGGAGGCTGAGGCAGGAGGATCCCAAGTTCAAAGCCAGTCTCAGCAAAAGTGAGGCACTTAGCAACTCAGTGAGACCCTGTCTCTAAATTAAATACTAAAATAGGGCTGGGGATATGGCTTAGTGGCCAAGTGCCCCTGAGTTCAATCCCTGGTATCCCTACCTGCCCCCCCAAAATTCTCATACTATAACTAACAGCAATGTGATCTGGAAAACTGAAAAAAAAATATTCAAAGGAATTCTGACCACCCTCCTCTCCCTAATTACTTTGACATTAATTCTTGAGCACTTTTGTGTTTTCTTAAGTAGCTGTAGTACCAAAGTGTTAAACAACAAACATGTAATACTAAATGTGATTTCCTATCAAATTAGAATCTCAGGTCTACAGTACCTCAGGGTGCAATGTTATTTGCTTTTCTAGAAAATCTGATTCCATCTATTTCTGTCTCCTCACTGATTCTTTCTTAGCCATTAGTTAGCACTTGTACTGCTTGCAGTTCTGTTGTAACCATTCTTGGTTTGGGGGTTTTTAAAAACCCAACTCCCTCCTTTATTTAACTCCACCACACAAACTCASAGCAATTAACAGGTTCCTATAATGTTTTAGAGTAGCGAGTTTAAATACCTAAGTTAAGACCCTTTAAGACAAGACAAACAAGAACCTGAACACTTTTGATTCTGACATTCACATTTCACTGCATTTGCCAGGACAGGAGATGGCGCCAGAAGGCAGTGGAATGGCTTGGTTTTAGTAGTTTGGCCAACCCCAGGAAGAGAAAAAGACTGGAATGGGAGAAGTCAGCACTGAAACAAAGATGCCAGGGTTTGAGTAGAAACCATCATTTAAAACAAAATAATCAGGGGGCTGGGGTCGTGGCTCAGCAGTAGGCTGCTCGCCTAGCACATGCCAGGCCCTGGGTTCGATCCTCAGCACCACATAAAAATAAATCAATAAGATAAATGTCTTGTGTCCAGCTACAACTGAAAAATAAATATTTTAAAAATCATAATCATTAGGGTTATCTTGACACGTACTCCATGTCGGCGAGACTAGAAAGCAACAATGGATGTATTCACAGTAAAGCCAGAGATCAGAATAACATCAGAGCCCCAGTTGAGGGTGCTCACCGCCCTTCTCCCCTCTCCTAGAAACAAAAGCAGCCGTCTGTGTGGGAGCACGAGCACCCAGAGGGGCTGCTCACTCAGGAATGGAAAGTGCTGATTTGGGGCTAAGATATCTTTGTGAAATAATGTTCAACTGTACAGAAAAATAAAAAAATAGCCCACCACAGTGAGATTCATTTTAAATTTAAGAAATTCATGGATTAGCCAGGAGGTGGCGCCTGTCAAGACGTGCCACCTGCCTTGGGACACTGACTCCCGATCCCRCAGGCTCCAGGGGACTGTCCTGGCAGAGGTCATTCAATGCAGACTTCTTTCCTACTGTGTGAAAGACATTTCTGCTTTTTTTTGTGGTGGCGGTTCCTCTGTATTAACCACTCTGATTCTGAAGAAATCGGATTTAAACTTTTGTATTCTTCATAGATGGGATGGATAGATGAGTCTTTGGGGAAACTTCAAAACAGAAAACTTTTCTGTAAGGGAAAAATAATTTCAGAGGGAGATGAGAAAATAAAAAAGGAAAGGACATCTGAAAACAAACGGCTCTGTTTGGCAGAGCCATCCCAGGGGACAGGAGGGCGCAGCTAGCGCCTGCTGCAGGAGCTGAGGGTCCAGCACATGCATGCATTATTCCTTTCCTTTGGCTTTTATCCTGCTCCCTTATTTAGCTTCGGCTCCCTTTGTTTGGGCTGTTTATTGCCACTCAGAAGGAGCAAAGAGGACAGAGGGAGCTCAAATGGGTGCATCCTTCAGGCTAGTGACCCTGGTGAAGAGTGTGRAGGAGAAAGATCTGAAATTATCTGTGGGCTTTCACATTCCCTAATGAGGGATTTAGGATGTACATTCCGATCGGGATTTCCAGTCCTGTGGGGGAGCACACACACCAGCCCACATTCCTGAGACGCGCCGCCTCTGGGCTCCGCTGGCCCGGCTCCACTGTGGCAGGTTTCACTCAGTCCCACTGTCCTGCCTCGGCCCCCCTGGGGCAGGAAGGAAGACCCTGGGCCACGCAGACTCTCTCTGCTCTCTCTGTGCTTGTTCTCTGGAGTCCGCCTTTTCTGTGATAGTGATTGTTTCCATGGTCTCCCCATCTCCCTCCAGCCCCGGCCTCTCTGCTAGGGGTCAGTGTCCTCTTAAGTGACAAAAGCCGCCCTAGATCTGGGCTCCCTGGGGAGGGAGGTGGCTGTGTCTGGCAGTTAGAGCCGCTGTCTCTCCATGGTGCTGTGGCAGCCCCTCCCCCACTGGGCACACAAATGGGCTTTATACAGCAAACAAAACCACCCCCCCCCCAGGCACACAAGCACGTGGACCCAGGCCTCACCGTGGGAAGGGGGTAGTGACAGGAACAGGAGGAAGACAGCGCTCCCGACAAGTTCTCCTCGTATTACTTCTCTGATTCTCCTCAACCCAGGTTTCCAGACTGTGACTTCCCACCCCTACCCCACCTGCACCCTGAGTCCCCAGCTCCTTCTTAACTTCTCCCCTAACTCTGCCTTCTATTCCAGGGCAGCTCAGACACTGCAAGGCGTTGGGAATAGGCCCCCCACCACCCAGGGTGCTACTCCTCAGGGGAGAAGCCAGGCAGGCAAATGAGAACATAGTGTCTTCTTGAGGTGGCTGCATTGAGCCCCAAAGGCCCCCTTTCTTGTCCCTGCCTGCTCCAGGGGACACCCATCTGAGGAGTATCTGCGTGAACAGCAGAGGAAAGAAGAGCTCACCCAGCTGGGCTCCAGAGCCAGGGCCAGGGCTCCGGTGAAACTCGCGCGCTCTGGCTCTGAGCGGGGCCATCCTGCACGCCTAATTGGCTATTTAAGGAGCTGCCCGCCTGCAGTCCAGGCACCCCCCCTCCCCACGTACACCAGTCCAGAGCCACCTTAAAAGCGAGAGGCAATTGTGAAGTCACTGGCCAGCAGTGGACTGGAGACTTCAGAAAGAGATAAAGAGAGCAGAGAGAGGCAGCAAGAGATTTTTCCTGGGACCCAGAAATTCACGGTATCCCAATGAAAATCAAATTCCCTGGAAATCCAGATACAGCAAGAGAAAGAGAGATAAATATACTCAACGCCAGGAACTCTTCTTTCCTCTCTCTTCCTCAGTCTCTCCTAGTCCTTTAGTCCCCAAATTCCTGGTTCCCTGTCCCCCTCCTGGGGATACCATGTTGTTCTTCGCCCTCCTGCTAGAGGTGATTTGGATCCTGGCTGCAGACGGGGGTAGGTACAACTGGCTGTCTGTGTGTTGGTCTGGGCTGATATCCACATGTCACCCTGTGTGCTCAGTGGGGGGAGGAGAGGTAAAAGGACGCCCAGGGGCTGGAACAATAGGCGCAGGGGTAGGGAAAAGAACATGGAGGAAACCGTTCCCTTCTTTTCCCTTTACCTTTCCAGCCCAGCTGTTGTTGGGGACAGGGAGAAGGTGCCAGGGGCAGGCCTAATACAGACCAGAGCAGGCATCTCCTTGCAGTTTTCCAGAGGCTATCCCCACTGTCCTAGTCGCAGGCCGCCCTGGTAGCTTCTTTACAAACTCTGCCGGGGAACTGAGGCGGGGGACATATCTAACAAGGCCAGCCCAGCTCAGACCCTGAACTCCAGCTGATCGCCGGATCACCTCACAGCTGAAGTCCTCTTTAAAAAAAAAAAAAAAAAAACACTTTGTTTTAGTTGTAGTTGGACACAACACCTTTATTTTATTTTTCTGTGGTGCTGAGGATGGACCCTGGGCCCCACATGTGCTAGGCAAGCGCGCTACCACCGAGCCACAACTCCGCCCCCCCCCTGGTTCTATGGAGAGACTAACTTCCTAGTTTTTCCCTGAGAATACTAGTAATAATAGTCAATATTTGTTTGACCCTTTACAGTTTAGGGTGGATTTTCAGGAACTCCCAGGAGATGAGGTGTTCTTGGGAGAACTGACTGAGGAGCTCCAGAAGTGTCCCCAGGACACCTACACCTCTTTTTTGTGTCTCTCTCATGCCTAGCACACAGTAGGCGTGCAATGAAGGTTTCTTAGAACAAGGCAAAGGGCTGCCTAGGGAGCAGAAGAATGCAAGAGGGTAACAGAACAGGCGAGCCAAAATTTCATCTGAGGAGAAAGGAAAAAAATGGGGAAAGAAAGGGGACTAGAATGACTGTGTTGAGGATTTGGTGGGGGAAAGGGCCCCAGGGGATTCCCTCTGTTGGGGTGGCCCACAGACTGGTAAATAAGAGGTTGCCTCCAGCCGTTTCTTGGGCTGCTTTTCAAAGTTGTCGGAGCTGAGGGATGGGCCAGTGGAATAGACCCAAGAGATCCAAGACTTCTTACAAGTCTGAGAGAGGGGGAAAGAGTTTAGGGTTTTCTCCGGAGTTTCTGGCCATTTTAATATTAATAGCAAAAATCCGCAAGGCCTCCCTCTTCCCCTTGAAGCAGTTTGGCCCTGTGTGGGGCTGGGCCAGCAGACCCCCGCCTGTCAGCCAGAGACAGGACTGCACGAGAGCCTGCAGAGAGCCTGGCATGTGACCCGCTGGCAGCTCTCCTTTTTACACACAATGCTTCATTTTCATCCTGTCCCTGCCAGCCTGGCAGCCTATGCCCACCCACCACCCTCAACCTAGAGTAGACCCTGCCTTGACTCCCACCTCTCCAGAGACAGCAGGGATCTTGGGAAGCAGGGGTTCCAGGTAATGGGGAGTTTCCTCTAGAACTAGTGGGATCAGAAGGGAAGAATTCCAGTGTTATTTTACAGATCAGTGCCTCCCTTTATGCAATGCTTCAAGGCAAAAGAATGATTCTCCCTTCTGCTCTCAGTAGCAGTCCCCACCCAACACACATACAGAACAGCAAAATTCTTTCCCTTCTTCTTTTTCTGGTCCCTTTCCTCCAAACCCTCTGCCCACATTCTCACCTCACCCCACCCCAAYCTTCTGTTGGATTGACTTGGCCCAGGCTGGAGTGAGGGTTGGGCTGACCCAAGTTAATTTTAGTCTCCAGGCTTTATTTCTCCATTCCCCTTCCTCCTTTACTCAGCAAGCACCAGCTGAGCCTGGCTGTGATTTTAAATAGGCCCCCCACCTTTCGGCTGAGGTGTCGGGTTTCAGGGCTTCCTTTGGGAAGTGGAGTGGAAGGCAGAGGGGGAGGGGAAGTGGTACCAAGGGCCCCTGGGAGGGGAGGGTGGAAGCCAGGGCCCTGCCCCAGTCTGCATTGGTTGTAACCCAAATTACTCTGTCTTGCAGGTCACCATTGGACATATGAAGGTGAGAACAGAACTCCAGGTGGCCTGTCAACACCCTTCTAACCCTGGGACCTCCTCACCTGCAGGAAGACTTATCCTGGGGTGGGGAGCAGTTTCCTTTAGCTTTGCACACTAACGCCTCCCTTCCCCATCTCCCCTTGGCCTGGGCTGTGCATGTATGATTTGTAGACCCTGTTGTAATCATTAAATCCCACACCTCCTGATTCAGCATAAAAGTCAGTTGAGTCCTCAATAAATCAGTGTGGGAGTGAGGGAGTTGGTGTGGAAAGAAAACTGGGTGGGGAGAGGATCTCGGAGCTTAGCTGCTATTCTCTTGGCTCTCTGAATTCTTCTCAGTCCTATTCCCAACCTGCTTTTGGAACTGGGACAGAGCTTGAGATGAGGAGTGAGGAAGAGTAGCAGGTTAGTTTGTGACCTTAGGGGAGGTGGAACTCTATCCCTCTGAACTTCTGATGAACGACTTAACAAAACCCCAGTCTCAGTGCAAATTTCAGTGTGAGAGCAAGAAATGACAAAAAGTCAAGATAGGTAGCTGAATTCTAAGACTACTTAATAGGGCACTCCAAGGAGACCTTCTCTCTAGGATCATTTATTTCCCCTCATTTTATCATTCCTACTCTAATTCTACCTCTCTGGGCATTCAGGCTATCTATCCATCTCCTCTTCCCCTCATTCAGCTTTCTTGTCCTCAAACTACAGGTAAGAGCTACCACTTCACATGTACCAGGGTAACTGGGGAGTCATCTCTGCCTCTGGGTAGGCAAGGGAACTGCAGCGTAGAGTCCGGTGGGACTGCTACTTGTCTCTCCCGGGTGGGGCAAGTGCATTTCTACCTGCACACAGATGGAGAACTTGGCAGGGGTGTGTTGAAGGGTGGCTGGGGCTGGAGGGCAGGACAAATATCCATGGTTACCCCCACCAGGCCCACATGGTCAGGACCATTGGCCAGCCTCTTACCCTGAGTGTGGAAGCAATGCCCAGTCCCCCATCGATATCCAGACAGACAGTGTGACATTTGACCCCGAGTTGCCTGCTCTGCAGCCCCACGGATATGATCAGCCTGGAACTGAGCCTTTGGACTTGCACAACAATGGCCACACAGGTAAAAACCTAGGCTCCCAGCGTTCAAATCTCCAGTTCAAATCTTAGGGGCCAAGAGAAAGAAATATTTTCGTAACACAAGTTTTCAGAAAGCTCCGTCCATGAATTTGGAGATATAAAAATGAGGATTGTGGGCTGGGGATGTGGCTCAAGCGGTAGCGCCCTCGCCTGGCATGCGTGCGACCCGGGTTCTATCCTCAGCACCACATACCAACAAAGATGTTGTGTCCGCCGAGAACTAAAAAATAAATATTAAAAAAATTCTCTCTCTCTCTCTCTCTTTAAAAAAAAAAAAAAAAAGAATGAGGATTGGGCTCCTGTAATCAAGGTGGGAGCTAAATGTCTCTGATCAAGCCTGAGGGGTCGACCTCACTGAGAGCAGGAAAGCTGTGCTAGAAAAGCACTGGTCTATGGGAGCAATGATCTCCCGAGAAGGGGCAACCACGGGTGAGAATGACCCATGTYCCTCCACCAACTCTAACTTGCTCTTTTCCTCACAGTGCAACTCTCTCTGCCCCCAACCCTGTATCTGGGCGGACTGCCCCGAAAATATGCAGCTGCCCAGCTCCACCTGCACTGGGGTCGGAAAGGATCCCCAGGGGGGTCAGAGCACCAGATCAACAGTGAAGCCACGGTTGCAGAGGTATCAGAGAACAAAGAGCTCGGACTAGGACCCAAGGGATGACACAGGGATGACTGGTTCTGGGGAAGGAATCTGGACACTAGGAAAAGCCCTACTGGGGGAACAAGGACAAGTGTTGGGGACAGATTTGGAGCATGATGGGGGTTGCAGTGGTGGATAGGTCAAGGCCTTGGAGGGAATGGGGTAGAAAAGCATTAAATGACTCCATCCCTCTCCCTTCCCTCAGCTCCACATGGTGCATTATGACTCCGATTCCTATGGCAGCTTGAGTGAGGCTGCCCAGAGGCCTCAGGGGCTAGCTGTACTAGGCATCCTAATTGAGGTCAGTGGCCCCCAGTCCCTCCCAGCTCTCTTTCCACTTCCTCTGCGTCCCTTAGGCCTACTTCATTGCCGGCCTCCTTCCTAACCACAGGCAACAATACCTCCTGACCACCTATTCTGTACATAAATGTCTCACTCCCAGCACGGACTCATTCCACACTCTCTCCCTTTCCTCCCCTTCCAGGTGGGTGAGACTGACAATCCAGCTTATGAACACATTCTGAGTCATCTGCATGAAATAAGACATAAAGGTGAGAACTAAAAATCTATAGTGAGATTAGACTTTAGGAATACTTTTTAAAAATGWCCTAGGCTGGGCCTGCTGGCACACACCTGTAATCCCAGCATCTCTGGAGGATGAGGCAGGAGGATCACAAGTTCAAAGTCAGCCTCACTCAGCACCTGCAAGGTGCTAAGCAACTCAGTGAGACCCTCTCTATAAATAAAATACAAAATAGGATGGGGATGAGGCTCAGTGGTTAGGTGCCCCTGAGTTCATTTCCCGGTAGCCTCCCCCCAACCAAAAAAAAAAAAAAATGTCCTAAGAGGTTTTGGGAGGCAGCAATTTCAGGGCCTGTGGGTTTTGCTTTGGAAACCCTGTCTAGGTAAGTCAGAGTACAGCAAGATGAATCCTACTCTGTTCTCCCCAGATCAGAAGACTTCAGTGCCTCCTTTCAATGTGGGAGAGCTGCTCCCCCCACAGCTGGAGCAGTTCTTTCGTTACAATGGCTCACTCACAACGCCTCCCTGCTACCAAAGTGTGCTCTGGACAGTCTTCAATCGAAGGGCCCAGATTTCAATGGGACAGGTGAGTAATGAAGAGGTAAAGGAAGAAAATTTTAACTCCAGACCCTTTCCCATCCCAAAAGTGACTTCTCCCACTCTTCTCAGCTGGAAAAGCTTCAGGAGACATTGTTCTCCACAGAAGAGGAGCCCTCTGAGCCCCTCATTCAGAACTATAGAGCTCCCCAGCCTCTCAATCAGCGGACTGTCTTTGCTTCATTCACCCAAGGTGACTCTCCAAGGCTCAGAAGAGACGGGAAATCAGGTTCTCAATGACAGGAACTAGGGAACACCTGAGACAGAAAAAACTAAAAGGGGAAGGGGTTTCCAGTACTTACTTGGACTGGGAACCACCCCCAGCCCTGGGTGCCCAGGTGATTTTCCCAGGCATAAAAGCAGCGGGCTGCTTASAGTTGGGATGGACTCTGAAGCCCCACTGACCCAAGTTTTCTTCCTCTACAGTGGGATCCTTGTATACCACAGGTAAGACAGCCCTACCCAGGAACCAAGAGACAGGAGGGACCTCAGCAAGTCAGGGGAAAAGTTCAATGTTAGTCCTGGGCTGACACCTTCCATCGCTGTCTCCCGCAGGTGAARTGCTGAGTTTAGGTGTGGGAATCTTGATTGGCTGTCTCTGCCTTCTGCTGGCCATTTATTTCATCGTTAGAAAGATTCGGTGAGGTCCTACTTTCCATTCCTGCAGTCCTTTCTTTTAAAAAGTATTCTCATATTCCACCTCTAATTGCTTCACTGAGGACACGAGTCACTCCCATGAACAATTATTCCCCCTTCCAGAAAGAAGAGGCTGGGAAACCGGAAGAGTGTGGTCTTCACCTCAGCACAAGCCACCACGGAAGCATAAGTTCCGAGACATCACAGATGCCTTTCCTTTGTGCCTGTCAGGGAGCCTCTAAAGTGGGGTGCAGGGGCTGGACAGAAAATACTACTAGGAGTTGTAGGCAGACACCCCTCCTTTTCTGGACATCTCTCACACAGAGGTAAGGACAAGATTCTCATTCAAGGAAAAACAGCAGAGCCTTTAGCCTTTGGCCTCTCAAAACATGTAGGAGGACACCAGGAGACCCCTGTGTATTAACACAGCGGGCAAACTATGTTCAGTTGTAGGTGAAGTTGAAAATGTGCCCCAAGTCTCCACCCCTCGCCTTTTTGTCCCTTCCCCTAGATACACTGCAGGATCTCCCCCACAGAAAAAGGGCTGCTGCTGGGGTTACATATTTTTGTTCAGTATAATTGCAATTAAAGTTTCTGACCTTAATTCTGGCCTATCCTTTAGGGTTCCTGGGAGTGGGAGAGGTCCTTAACCCCTCAGGTGGTAGAGACAGGCAAAGGACATAGAAAAAGAAGCCTGGGTGACTAACTCCTTTTATCCCACCCCCAAAGGGGATGTCCAACATGTTAAATCACCAGCTCAGATTTCTGCCCTTGCACCCAAAGTGATGCTTGGAGATCAGGGATTGCCAAGTCAGGAAGAAGACTGGACAAGAGGCACGGGAGGGCAGAAATCTCAATTAATATATCATTCCCTCCCTTAGAAGTCAACTTCCCCCACAATTATAAAGTACTTTTTATTAGTCAAAAATCACAATCACCTTGATTAAAAGGATGGGACACTCCACCCTCAGCAGAAAATGATACAGTTTATAGAAAACCTCCCCACCCCTCCCATACCCCAATTAAAAACTAGAAAAAACCCACCCTCCTTCCCTGGGATGTCCTGGAGTCCGACTCCTCCAGTGGCACTGCAGCTCTGGAGTGGCCGGCTCACGACAGCACCCTCCACTTCACCTTGGGGAGAGGAGGGATGCTGGTGGCCAAGGAGGTTAAGACCATTAGTTCCAGTAATACCAGTTCCCAAACATGCACTTCCTGCCTTTCCCCCAGGGCCTGGGACCAAGGGGAAAGGGGACAGAAATGAGCCCAGCCACAGGAACAATTAGAGGAGGGAAAATATAGCCCAAGGAGGCRAGGAAAGTTCCAACATACCTCCTCCCTCCCTCCACTTAAAAAAAAATAAAAGGCAGTTTGGGGTCTTTATCACACCAAAAAAATGGTTCCCTTCAGACCTGAGAAAAAGACCAAGATGTCCAGTCTGGGGAGGGGGTACTGGAAAACTCAGAGATCATCTACCCTTGAGCTTCCATCCATTTCATCTCCAGGGCAAAGGCTAAACTAGGTCCCTTTTCTTGGCAACCTGCACTGTTCAGAACTGGAGATGGAGAAATACAGGGCGAGGAGATCAGGAGGGCACCCCAGGCCCAGGGGTCCCCCCCAGGTTCCCTCAGTCCTCGGGTGGGATGCGCAGGGCAGAATACACCATCACCCGACTGTCCTCCTGCCGTCGGCCTGCAGAGGGGAAGGGGGGTGAGTCATGGGCAGGGTGAGAGCAGAGCACTGACACATAGAGATTCCTGGACAACACGGGGGTCCCCAGGTGGTGGGGTAAGTGCAGATTCAAACCCACCAGTCACTGACTGGCTGAACCCAGGCTACTCCTGGTAAAGCTCAGAAACTAAAGGTCACAAATGGACAAAGCAAAACCCTGAAGGTTGTTGGGGTAGACCAACGAAGAGAGAGAAAGTGGGCAATGGACCCGGGCTGGGGCTGGGTTCAGTCATGGGCAGTGGACAGGCAGGTGGGATCTGTCAGGCGATCATTCCAGGTAGTCAGTCCTTACACGAGAGGCTGCGCTGGATACTTCGGAGGGACCCTCCAGCTGTGATGAAGGCCCAGAGCCCCATGGAAACAGTCACTGCATAGATGGGCAGCAAGCTGGCCTCATACCAGGGGTTCAGGAAAGTCTGAGAATGAGGGTAAGAGTATAAAAGAAGTTAGATTCTTTCCCTGACTAATCCCTATATTCTTTTTGTACCTCTAACCCAAGCCTCCCCCAGACATCTTACTCAGATTCCCCAGTCTTTCCCTTCAGAACACCAACATCTTGTGGTTAAAGGGATTTGATTTTCCACTCCCTCAAAGATTACGACGGCTGCCRCTCATCTCAGGCCCTCTGCATTATAGTTTGCCTAATCCGTTCAAACTCTTCCCCAGAGCATCCTCAGAGCAGGTGACATAACTAATGCTGTAGAGACTCACCTTTCTGCCTCTGCCCAATGTAAATCGGAAATTTTCAGAGAGGACACATACCCCCATCCCACTTGCCATTAAATGCTTTTCTCCCTAACTTGGCCCCTATCTCCAACTCACCAGTCCTGATGTCAGTAGGTGACTCCCAACCACCAGGCCCAAAGCCCAGTACCGTCTCCTCTCACAGGCATCAAAGAACACAACTCCCCAAAAGGTATGGAGCAGGATAATGGCTGCTGTCAGAAAGGCTGCAGGGAGGAAGATGGGGATGAGACATCCCTGATCTTCTCCCAGCCTCCTGAGATGTGAAGCCAAAGAAGTCTCCCAGGGAAGGCCAATAAATCAGATCAGGGCCAGGGATGAATGGGACATGAAGGTAAGATTAGAAGTGAGCCTTACCTGAAGTTAGGAAGTAATAGGGTGAGTCTCCATGGATCCCAACCACACCTGGCCCAAGTGCATCAGCCAAAATATTGATAACAGAGAAGACACCACTGATGATACCGAAGGAGAGACCAGAAACTGTGGGGAGGGAGGGTGCCATCAATGTCAGAAATCACTACAGCCTCATTACCAATGACCTCCTCCACATTCCCAGTTACATTTCTCCCACACCTACTCTCCCTCCAGACCACCTCTCCTTGGAATCAGGTATGAAGGGAAAAAAGAAGTCACTCAGAATATGTGGATGTTTGGAGATTTCCCTAGGGGAGGGGGCTGTCCCTCTCCCTCGAAGGTCCCTCTCCCTCGGCTCACCATAGGCCATCTGGCGAATGGAGATGGGAGATCTTCCGTCCTCACTCAGCGATGCTAACCCCTCATCTGCCTTCCTGGGATGAGGTGGAGTAGGGGAAGCATGAGGGAGGGCAGGAGTGCTCCTTTCCCTCTAATGTCTTCCCCCGGTGCCTCTTACAAACCACCACCCAAGGGCTGCCCCATTTCCCACTGCCATCCTCTGCCCCTCTTCCCTCCAGACCACCCCATCTTCTTACTTAAGCAGCTTGTAGTAGGCAAAGCGGAAGGCCTCCTGAAGAAGGACAGAGACAGCAGCACCAAAAATCAGGAGGCCATACTGGAGACGGGCATCTGACCGGTCTGTCACATGGACCAAGATGAACCAGACCACAGAGGCCAGCAGCAGGGAGACCAGCCAGAAAAATGCCCTGAGAAAAGACAAGGGCAAGGGTAAGGGCAGCCAGAGAAATCAAGGAAGGGAACCAGCCAAGGCTGCAGCATGAAAAATGGAAGTTAGACTTCTGGATGGTCAGACAGCAGGGACTAGATAGGGTGGGTGTCTGCACCAAGGAACTCGTCTGTAGGAACCTGATGTAGGGAAGGGGTATAAATCTGGTCACACAGTCTTCAGAGCGATGAGAATCAGAGCCCTGAAGGGTGAGGTGTCCACGCCTGGCTCCTCCCGCWGGGACCGGGCTCGGCCAGCCGAGGTCAGCACAGCCCCTCAGGAGTCTGGGCCTTGGGCCGCCCSGTCCCGCCGGGAGCGCACAGGAGGAAATCTGCGGTCGCTGCACGGCGGAGACCGACCGCCGGGAGGGGCGGACCGCCCGGACCGCGTCCGACCGTCCAGCCCGGGGCCGGGGCTCGCCCAGCTCCTCCAGCCCCTTCCGCTTCTCTCTTCGACGCTCTCACGCCTCTTGGACCACCCGCTACTCACCCCGCGACCAGGATGATAACGCGGAGAGGGTCCCCAGCCACAGTGATCAGGAAAAGCGCGAAGGCTGGGCCGAAGGCGACGAAAGTGCATCCGAAAAACACCGCAGCCCCCATGGCTGGGCAGCGGGGGAGGAGCCCCGGCCGCAGGCGCAGGACGCAGCGGCGCGCCACCGGGGAGTCCGCGTGGGGGCGGCGACGCGACCCCACCAGGGGCGCGGTGCAATGTCACCCCCGGACCCCGGGGAAGGGGAAGGGGGGTACCGAAGCCCCAGAGGGTCCGCCCGACTCGGTCTACGGAAGCCGAGGAGGGGAAAAACCCCGGCCGCAGCCCCATGGCCACCTCCCCTCCAGTCCCCACCCCCGGAAGGCCGCGGAGACGCGCGTGGGCGTGGCTGCGGCCGTGGGCGTGTCCGCACGGCCTGCCGGGAGTCGTAGTCCCCGGCCCGAGCCCGAGCGGCCCGGGCGGGGCTGGGCCTGGCGCCGGCGCGGACCCCGGAGTCCGGCTGCGCCTGGGCCGCGATTTCCTTTCATCACTTTGGAGGGAAGGGTGGTAGCAATTCTGCTGCTTCTTGAAGGGCTTCAGAAGGGGAAGATCCTGTTTGAATCCAAGAGACAAATACAAAGAACACAGGATGGGGTGGCAAGGAGATAGAGACGGGTATTGTTCTTACTTGAATCAGAGGAAGTTGGCTACAATTGCTGCCTAAAGGATGGAGGTTGGACTTAAAAGCAGGAGCTCTTTGGACAGGAATACATCGTATGGCTAATGAAGTCTTCATCTGTGATGACAATCAGAGAGAAGCAAAAGGGCCTGGAGAGAAATATTGCAAAGGAATTTTTAGAAGGAATCGAGAAGTTAAAAAGCAACCAGAACAATGGGGTTGAGAGAAAAAAGCACACATCCCCCACCCCACCCCCCAGTCATTCAATTCCTTTTATGTCATACTTCCTCTATTTATTTTCTGAAAAATAAACTTCAGTGGCATCTTTTCCTCAGACTACAGAGAGAGAGAGAGGTTTCCCTATTAGAATGAAGGAGAGTTACAGTAGGAGAGGAGGGTCTGGTCATTCTATTTGAATGGTGAGAGGTTGATCCTTAGGCAAGGCAAAGGACTCCTAGGATGGGAAAATGAGAGAATCTGAAATATAGTTTCTGAAAGAAAAAGGAAAAAAGCCCTATAGAAATTACTTGAAGAGAACTAGGATTCCTGGAAGGGATTTATCATTTCATATGTATACACTCACATAGATGTTTCATGCTTTTTCCAAAAAATTCTGGAAAGAAGCTGAACAATATATTTGCACAGAAAGTCACTGAGAAATCTTTCCCCAATAAGCTTGAGAGGACGGGAACATCTTGGCCAGTGCTAAGGACTCAGTCAGGGGAAGACATGGGGGTTAGACAACTTTTTGAGCTGTTAGCGTAGCTCTCCTGACACATAAAAGCAGGCTCTAACCTGTCCTGTATATGGGTGATCTCTTGAGTATGGGTGATCTCAGAGAGACTTGCGTAGTGACTGGCTCATGGTAGATGCTAAGCAGATATTTATTAACTGTTTCAAAACAAAACACTGTATTCTTTTCTTATTCCATTGCCTGTGAGCTCTGAATTGCCTAGCAAACTGCATCTAATACATGTTACTGTTTCTGAACTGAATTGAATGAAAATGGGAAATCAAGAAACAATGATAAGAACTCTACCCCTRTAGTCCTTAATTAAGGGAACTATACCAAATGACTGAAAAGGGAAGGTGGAGTATGGCATCAATTACAGGGAAAGACATTCTGTGCACTACTTTTTCCACTCCATATACAGAGGAAGTTAAGAAAAAGGTGAGATGAGGTCAGCACTGACCAGAGAGGATATAACTAGCCTTGGCTGAGAGGTTTTTATCAGAAGCAACTCAGCAGGTGTTTTGAGAGTCAAACAACAATAGGTAAATATTGCTCCCATCCTCCATAGCCAAGACAGGCAGAGAAGAGGGACTATTTTCAGTCTAGGAAAACAAACAAACAAACAAACACCCCCCCCTCTCCTTTGAGCATTTCCAAAGAAATTGGTGAAAGAGACTATGATTAATCCTCAGAGAGAAAAGCAACTCTGGATGGTGAGTGGTAAATGAGGAACAGCAAGAAGGCGAGCTTTTTGCAAGGACTAGGAGGAAAAAAGAATAGGTAGACTTCTTTGGTAGCAGCAGTGGGAGTATTGCATGAACCCAATCTAGGGCTGAGGAGTTTCATGAACAAGTCCGCATCTTTTGCCTCTCTCAGCTCTGGCTAAGGACGGGTAGTAACTGAAGATCTAGTCAGTAAGTAGGCGGAGAATTCTGCCCCCAGGGAGAAGAGTCATGTAATTCCCTCCCAGCTTTGGAGCAGCAGGGGAGGCGGGGTAAGTTTGGTGGGAAACAGAGTAATTTCCTCTTTTTACTTTCAAAGCTATAGTGCAAAATCCAGAATGGATGTCCTCTTTGTAGCCATCCTTGCTATGCCACTTATCCTGGGTAAGTCCCCTTCTCTTTCTGAGCTTTTGCACTTGGTCTTCTACCATAAATGGGGTGGGAGAAAAAAACCTGGGGAGAAGATGAGTAGTATATTTCAATGGGGAGTGATTGCGCTTTCTTATCTGTGCCAGAGTCCAATGATGGGGCAGAACAGAGATCTGGTTGGTAGAGCCAGGAAACAGGGAGATAAACAGAGTCCAGTCAAAGAAGAGAAGATTTTCAGATGATGAAGGGCAGGGAGGTCCCTTAGCAAGATTCAACTCACTTTTTCACCATAAAGTTGAACAAAACAAGAGGAACTAACAGGAGACTAACGGAGAGAGGTGGACTCTTAGAAGCTGGAGCAGCCTGAAACTTTGTAAAAGAAGCAGGGTATCTCCTTTCCCAGAGAGTAGGAGGCGCGCACACACCCACACAACCTATTAGTGAAGACATGGCTGCGGGTTGACCTTTAGGATAGTGGAAAACTGGCTACTCTCAGGAACAGGGTCCCAAGAGTAGCATGGCTCCTTCCCTCTTTTGTTCCCCAGTCTGCCAGGTGTATGTCTCATTGTTTCCCTTTCCCCTAGATTCTTGTGTCATTAGTTTAGGATTGGAGGGAAAATGTTCAAGGAGCTCAGGGAAGTGTTTAGGAGGAGACCTAGAGTTCTTGATTCCATCATCGATGCCACATATTTTTATGGAAAAAAAAGACAAACTAATGGAGAAGGGTCATTTAGTCCAGCTGACTCATTTTTTTTAAAATATTTATTTTTAGTTTTAGGTGGACACAATATCTTTATTCTTATGTGCTGCTGAGGATTGAACCCAGTGTCTCAGGCATGCTAGGCTAGTATTCTATCACTGAACCCCAGCTCCAGCCCAGCTGACTCATTTTAAGAAAGCGGATAGTTAAATAGTTTCTCAAGGTTATTCTGCTAGTTAGCAGTGAAGGTGGAATGTCTATTAGTTATTTGTGAGAGACACTGATAAAAGTTGATTTCTTAGGTTGCAGGCGTAGCTCAGAGATAGAACACTTGCCTAGCAAGTGCAAGGCCTAGGGATCAATCCCCAGCACTGTTTAAAAAAAAAAAAAAAATCACAAGTACAGTAAATTCTGTAACATATTGAATAGAATAGAAGATTTGGTGTTTTCAGTTTCTGATCTCTAGATAGAGATCTTCCTTTTTTAGGTTTAGTTCTCTCTTTGGGTTTATAGTATGGGAAGGGACCTGTTTCTTTCTCAAGAGTTCCTGATTTGGAAGGGCACAGAGTAGCAGGCCTCAGTTCAGATATGGAATCCAGAAGACAGAACAGTTTACAAGTGCAGAGTCAGGAGATAACAAGACCCTTGAAGGGGAGGCCAAAAGAAGAAAAACTGGTAGATTTAGGATCAACTTCAGATGTCCTTTTGTTGTTAAGGCGTTCCAGATGTCCCTTGACCTATAGTCCTTATCTCCATAGGACAAGAATATGAGGATGAAGAAGGATTGACAGAAGATTATTATCAGGTGGCCTATTATTACACAGTCACTCCTAATTATGGTGAGTGCCCCTGATCCTAAGTGGGGTGGAGAAAGGCTTTGTGAATACTTAGTTCTAAGACTATGCCCTTCCCTTTGCAACAGAAAAACTGAATGAGAGGGAAGTTTGGCTAGGAACAAAAATTATCAAAATTCATGCTTTTATTTTTTCAAGCTAGTGATTTTTAATTCTTTGGAAAATGGTTGAAACACTTTGGACAGTTTCAAATTTATGAATTTGAATGAAAATATAAACACAGGGCTGGGGATGTGGCTCAAGCGGTAGCGCGCTTGCCTATTGTCCGTGCGGCCTGGGTTCAATCCTCAGCACCACATACAAACGAAGATGTTGTGTCCGCCGAGAACTAAGAAAAAATAAATAAATGTTAAAATTCTCTCTCTCTCTGTCCCCCTCTCTCTCTCACTCTCTCTGTTTAAAAAAAAAAAAAGAAAATATAAACACAGTATTTATAAACATTTTGACACTAAAGTTAATTAGAAGTGGAATTTACCAATATATTTTACAACTTGAGCAAGTTAAAGCGTTCTGTGCAATTTCTTCCCCTTTCATTACTGGACCTAGAATTCCCTTTTTCCATTGTTACTACTAATTTTTTTTTTCTCCTCCCCAGATGACTTTAGTGCAAATTTCACCATTGATTACTCCATGTTTGAGTCAGAGGACAGGTTGGTGAGTGACCTCTACATTTTAGAGTGGCAGGATAAATCAAAGTTAAAAAGAAACTGGGCAATGTTGAAATGWAACCTTGATTAGCAAGAAAGAAAATTTGGTCGATTGAGAGAAACTAGAAAGTGGGTCCCAAACAGATTTGTCAATAATAACTGGGGAGGAGAAGGAAGCCAAGCCCAGTAGCTTTACTAAGAACTAAGAAAGAGGGGCAGTCAAAAGATTTGTTGAGTTGTAATCTCAGCAACTTGGAAGGCTGAGGCAGGAGGATCTCAAATTCAAGGCCAGCCTCAGCAATTTAGGAAGACCTCGCCTCAAAATAAAATAAAAAGAACTGGGGATGTAGCTTAGTGGTAAAGCATACCTGGTTTTCAGTTCCCATCAAGTACCTCAAAACAAAAAAACCCAAAAAGGAATTGTTGAACGGGATAGGTAATACATTATCCAGGAAAGTACAGAGTAGGGAGAATCCCAGAGCTTAAGTCTTTGCGAGTGGGAAGGGTGACCTGGTTGAGTACTGGTGCAGGGGAAAATAGAGAATCTATGAGGATGTTGGATGGAAGTGACGATAACTCTATTTCCCAATCCTACTGAGAGAAGAACAGTTTGGATAAGGAAGAAACAACACAAGCAGTGGAGACTACCATTATTCTTAAAACAGAACATGCAGATCATCAGAAGCCTGTCACCGTGAAAGCAGTAATAATGGAAACAGTAAGTTGAATGGGAATTAGAGAGGAGGGAGAGAATTCATCCCTTACCCAGATAGATCCCAGGGCGGTGACATGGAGTAGAGAGAGGGCTGCAATACTAGGCTTTGGTGGAGGTGGAAACCAGATAGCTACTGCTGCAACGCAGGTGTTCATCTTAACTTGGCCATCAAATATCTCACTGAGATCTAACATCCATACAAACAAGGGGAAGTTCCATTCCAGTTAAATTTCAGTTCAGTTGTACTTAATATGTATGTGATCTGTGTCTAAGGCTGCTGAGGGTACTGATGGAAAGAAACCTATGATGTTGCTATTGCCCTGAGGCATTTACAAGATGCATGATTACATTTATGAAATATTTAGAATAAAATGAATTTAATACAATATTAAATTACCTATAAGTTTGAGAACATATGACATAGGTAAGTGTTTTAGACATTGTAGGAAGAGAGCTTGTACAAGGTAGAATTGTCAGGAAGGTTTAGGAGGTGATGATGCTTTAGATGAACTAAACTTGATGGGAAATTGTGAAAGAACAAGTGCCATTAGGAGGAGGAACAGTTACTATAAGAGTGAACAAGCTTCATAGGTGAAGGAAATAATGCAAGTATGATATGTTTAGTGAATGGGGTGTGATTGAAGAAGAGAGTCTAGAGATGGAAAGAGTAGGAATTAAGTTTAAAAAAAGTACAAACTCCTAATATTTGCTTGATAACTTTGCATAAGGCAAGATAGGACTAAATTATGGATAGTCTGAAATGTTGGACTGAAGTTTGGCCTTATAAGCAATAGGGAGCCTAGTAAGTCCTTCATATGGTAAAGAAATGATGAAAGTAGGGCTGGGGATGTGGCTCAAGTGGTAGCGCGCTCGCCTGGCATGCGTGCGGCCCAGGTTCGATCCTCAGCACCATATACAAACAAAGATGTTGTGTCTGCCGAAAACTAAAAAATAAATATTAAAAAATTCTCTCTGTAAAAAAAATGATGAAAGTAGCATTTTAGGGGAAAAATAAAACTATTCATCTGGATTGTGCAAGATGCCATTTAGTGTAGAAAGATTCATCAGATTTGCATTGTTCCAACAACAATCTATTAAAAGCCTGGACTAAGGAAGTGGTATTTTAAATCCAGAGGAGAAAGATAAGAAATACTTAGAAGAAAATGCCTTGCTTCATTAATAATTTCATCTCCGGAATAAATGAAGAGAGATTAAAAATAACACATAGGTTTTAAACATGTTTGAGAAAATGGAAACTATGGGAAGCCAGTGTGGTTTAGGAGGGAAGTTATAAATTTGGTATTGGCTAAGTTAAAGGGATTCTGCCGGCCCCAAGAGGGTGTCCTTTAGGCAGTTGAGCTACGTCAGAGCTAAGAGTTCTAAGTGCAAAGTCACAGTTATGAAAGTAAATGAGCTCAACAGAGCCAGTATGCACAGAAGCTCAAAAGACCAATGAACGTGGCTACAGTTAGTAGAAAGAGGAAGAGGAACCAATCAAATAGAGAATGATTGACTGGAGAGGCAGGCAGCTGGCCAAGTCTGTGTTATAGAGTCTAGAAGAGAAAGCTTACTATAATCAACCAGATGCTACCAAGAGGCCAAGGAGAAGGAGAACTTTGGTAATCCCTAAGAAAGTAGTTTTAATTGAGTTAAGAGAAGGTAAACTATGAGGAAATAGAAGCAGATATAGGCTAACCACCTGAAAAATCCTGGTAATGGAAAAAAAAATGGCAACAGCTRGAAAGGGCAACAGGGTCAAAAGAGCAACCTAGATAGAGCTGACCATACGTGGGAGGCGCAAAAGATTGACACTAGGCACAAACACATGTTTTTAAAGTATACAGTTTGTTCACTTTGGATTGTAACCCTCTTGAGAACAGGAACCACATTTTATTTGTATTTATATCCCCCCATAGCACCAAGAGCAGTGTCATGCACATAATAGATAAAAATAGTGTCACTGAATTGAGTTGGGGTCTCCCTGGTATGGTCAGGGATCCAAGAAAGAACGTCTTATAGTAGTGGAGAGTCAGAACTTCCCTTGAGGCCAACGGTAAGAAAGAGGTTGGTGTAAAGATATGCCTATCCTCCTGAGAAGTGGRAAGTAATAGGATGACACTGGCCTGATGTGGGGGCATCTGTATTTTAGCAGAGTCCAGATCTGAATGATGCTGTGTCCAGTCTGCAGAGTCCTGTTTCTCTTCTCCTGTCATGGGTCCTCCTTCAAGGGGGGATGTATTTCATGTAAAGGTGAGAGTGCAGCCACTGGCCTTGGGGGAGTCTATGAAGTAATTCTTACTAGTTATCCTTGTCTAGTGTTGCCAGCCTCATCAATTCTCAGCTGCTTAAATATAGAAGGAGGAGCTGGGCATGATGGCATATGCCTCTAATCCCAGTGACTCCAGAGGCTGAGGCAGGAGGATTTCAAGTTCAGAGCCAGCCTCTGCAATTTAGTGAGGCCCTACGCAACTTGGCAAGACCCTGTCTCACAATTAAAAAGTTTTTAAAAGGGCTGGGGATGTGGCTCAGTGATTAAGTGCCGTGGTTTCAATCCCCAGTACCAAAACAAAAGACAGAAGGATCACATTTAGGAAAAAAAAAAATCCTCATTATCTAATTTTAAAGAAGTTTGTGAGATGTTGAGGCAAAGATTATGAGTCATTAAATTTTCTAAACTGGGAGGACTTCATGACCCCCTAGAGCAGAGGCAGGTGGAATAGAGAAGAAACTTCTCTAGGCTTCCAATATGTCTTGAGGAATCAGAGCTGGTTTCATTCTGGCCATGGTTCAAAGGGCAAAATGGGTGGGTCCTACAACCTGGTGGAGTTCAGAGGCAAAGTTCCAAGTCAGAAGGGTGGTGGTTCCCTAATGGACTGGGGTGATCATGGGCAAAGGAGCAGGGAAGAGACAGCTGTTATAAGAAGGAATGTTAAGTTGGGGTTCTAAATAACTATGGAGCACAAAGAGATTCAGAGGAGGAGGAAGGTGTGACGAGGGGAAGGAACATATTTCCCCCAAGAGATACAACAGGGGAACCCCAGCTCAGAATATAAATTGGAGGAGTTTTCCTAGGGATGGAGAGGGACGTGAAGGACTTCCTGGGTTCCCTGACCCTGTTTTCTTCTCTTTGCTTTTTTAGGTGAGAGAAGGCTGCTGTGACTCCTTGGATGGGAGTTTGACTAGAAGAAATTGGAAAATAAAAAAATAAATGAAATCACCTAGTCACTGTCTACTTCATTGGAATCTATTCTAAAGTCACACACTAAAGAGAGTACCAGAATTTGGGGACAGGAAGAGTAGATTAGAAAGAGAATTAGGTGACAATAGATTTGAAGGAATTAGGAATTGTAAATATACCTGGAATTTGGGCTAAAATGAACACCCACAGATKACAGGTTTATCCAGAGTCCATAATTCCCTGTGATTCTATTGTTTTATGTGGTATTGAGACACTATGCTTGGGAAATAGGGTTATRGTTTATTTAGAAAACTTTTTTTTCTTTTTATAAAATAAGCATATTGTTAAAAAATAAGTAAAATATTAATTATTAGATCAGATTTGAGGGGCTGGGGATAWAGCTCAGTTGGTAGAGTGCTTGCCTCACATGCACAAGACCATGGGTTCAGTCTCTAGCACCTCCCCCCCCACAAACACACACACAAAGAACAGATTTGAAATAGTCACACCTTAAGTGGCTATCCTAGGACCCTAATCAGAACTGGGCTTCCCCCACATCAATGTTTAAAGCAGCATAATTCACAATAGCCAAGGTATGGAGCCAACCGGAGTGCCCTTCAACATGAATGGATAAATAAAATGTGGCCTATGTACACAGTGGAGTATTACTCAGCCATAATGAAGAATGACTTTATGGCATGTGCTGATAGTTGGAACTGCAGACCATCCTGCTAAGTGAAGTAAGTCAATCCCAAAAAAATCAAAGGTTAAATGCTTTCTCTGATAATCAGAAGCTAATCAAAAATAAGAGGGAATAAAGATCAGTGGAGTAGACAAAAGAGAATGAAGGGAAGGGAGGAGGAATGAGCTAGATAGGAAACAGTGAATCTAACATTCCTATATATATATGAATATATCACAGTGAATGTCATCATCATGGACATCCACAGACACAATTAAAAAAAGAAAGAAAAGCTATAAGTAAATAGTACAAAGATCAGTAAAAGGAGAGGAAGGATGGGAATAAAAAAAATACTTTTAGGGCTGGGGTTGTGGCTCAGCGGTAGAGCTCTTAGCACGTTTGAGGCTCTGGGTTCAATCCTCTGCACCACATAAAAATAAACAAAATAAAACTATTGTGTCATATATATATACACACATACATACATACACACACACACACACACACACACACACACATATATCTTAAATCAGTAGAGGAAAGGGAACAGAGTGGGAGGATGGGAGGAAAATGGGAAATACTGGGGCCTGAATTAGAACAAATTATATTCTGTGCTTTTCTAATTATGTGAAAATGAATTCTATTGTTATGTATAACTTAAAAAATATATGAATAAGTTCACAGTATTAAAAAAAAAAAAAAAGAACTGGGCTGCCCTCTTGCGGTCTCTCCGGTGTCAGAGCTTCAGGCAGCCCACAGTCCCCGGGTCTTACTTCCTCTTACTCCCTTTCCATTGTTCTCTTTAAATATTGCAGAGGGCAACAAATAGTGATGTCTGTTACTTTTGAGACTCTTTAAATTCTGGACCTSTCTCCCTCCCTCCTTCAAAGTCTTTCGAATCCTCTCCAATGGACAAATAAACTGAAGCCGAAGAAGCCACGGCCTTGGAGCTCAGGGGTTTTCACACTCCGTTCCCTTTGCTCAAAATCCGATAATTCAGGGCACAGGCCTGAAGAGCCGAGGCAGAGAAGTCMGGCAGCACCGAGTTCGGCTTTGACCTCTGCAGTCTTGGCGGGCTGGCATCTGAGCTGGTAACGTGCGTGGCAGGTTATGTAAGGGAAGGGCTGCAGGAGCCGCCCCAGCGGGAGCCCGGGAGAGCACGCCGTGTTCTCGGCCGCCGTCCCCACCCTCCTCACCCAGCAGGGCAGGAGGCACCCAACTCGGAGGAGTGAGAACGGGGAGGTGAAACAGAGCAGGGAGTCACGAGGGCTGAGACGCGGAGACTGGGAGCGGTTACTCGGTGTCACCCAGCCGTTCGCTCACACACGTTGCAGCACAAGTAACTGACGGGTTCCCACGTGCTGTGCTCGTGAGCGGAGGCGCTCACCGAGGGGGCAGACGTGTCAGCCGGGGAGGCAGAACCCTGGGACCCACGCCCCGAGGCACGCGCTTCCCGTCTGACATCCATCCGCTGAACACTCCAGCTGCGAGTCTCCCGCGCATCACTATCCTATTTAAGGCCCAGGGCTCCGCCCTTTTTCTCCCCTTCCTACTTTTTCACTCTTTTTTCCATCCTCCTCCTTTTCTCCTCACCGGGTCCTCTCCGGGAGCCGCATGTAGGGGCGGAGCACGGAATGCTTCCCTTCCAGCCAATCGGCACCTGACTGCTTCTTTATTGGCCGAGCCCCTGTGAGCTGTAGCCAATGGGCTGTGAACTTCACTAACGGGAGTCACGTGTTACCGGCTAGCCAACCAATGAGGATGCGAAATCGGTGTACGCAGGGGGAGGCACGTGCCGAGCCGCACGTGTCCGGGAGGGGGGAAGGGGCGGGACCCACAGAGAGTGGGGCGGAGGTGGGTAGCCTAGACCCGGAGAGACTGAGAAGCAGCCGGAGCCGGAGCCGAGGCCGAGCCGATCGACCCAGGTAAGGAGACTCAGAGGGCGATGAGTGAGCCGTGGAGAAGGCTGGGGCCGGGGGGAGTGGGTTTGGGTGAATGCGCGCAGATGTGGGTATTGGTAGGGATTGCATCACCTGGCCGGCGCGACTGTAGATCCCTTGATCGGGATATTGATCAAGAGAGATTGGGGAAGGTTAGGAGGTCGGTCCCTGTGGGGGGCGATTTCCACAGGGACGCTAGGTAGGTTAGGTAGGTTCAGGTGTGCAGATTTACACWCGCGGGTGGCTGGCCTCAGACGCCAACGGCGAGGTCGAGCTGGGGAACAAACCAGGAGAACAGCAGAGGAGGGGAAGGTGTCCCAACCGAGGGAAAAGAACAGAGGATGTGTCAGGACCAGAGCTGATCTGCAGAGGCCAGAGAGGCAGCCCCAGTTTTTTCGTGGGTGGGGGTAGGGGAGGTGACTTTTTCTATTGTCTCTATTGGGCAGGGGAAATAGAGGTGTTATCCCGTGCAGTACACCTCCGTCTCCCCGTCSGTTTCCTGATCCTTAGACTCTGGTTTCAAACTCCCTCGCTTTGCTCTTCAGTTGCAGGTTCGGATCTTTGGGTACTTCAAGACCTGCTCTCCAGCCCCTGCTTCTGGACCTATGGATTCTCCATCTAGTGTTTCTTCTTATTCCTCCTCCTCTCTTTCTCCCTCTTTTTCCACCTCCCCAGTGAAAGGTGATTTTGGCTTCCCCTCCGATAGTGAGAGGGAGAACAAGGGGTCCCAAGGGCCCAGGCCAGACACTGTTGGGCAGAGGGGATGTTTCCGGCCTAGCCCGGGTCCTATCCGCTRTAGGCATCGTTGCAAGGTTTCCAGTAACCAACATACAGCATCTCATCTGGAACAGCGAGGCTTGACTTCTCCTATGGCAGAATCTGGGATCAAAAGATCAAGAGATGGTGAATTGGAAACCAGTGTAAACATCCAGGGTTGTACCACGGAGGGAGACCTGCTCTTTGCTCAGAAGGTAGGAAAAAGGAAGTGATAATGCTAAACACTCAACTGGTTAGGACCTTAAGAGGATAGTACTGACTCCCAAATTTGGAAGCAGAGGAAATATGGCTACTCACATGGACAATTCTTGGTTTTCTCATAGCCTCTGTCCTATTTTCCTACAGTGTAAAGAGCTCCAAGGATTCATTCGCCCCCTCACAGATCTACTGAATGGGCTGAAGATGGGTCGTTTTGAGAGAGGTAATTGCCTGATTATTTGCATTATTTTGGACTAGGTTCCCACCTTAGTATCTGTCTCTCTTGAATGTGTRTATCTCTAAAGTCTTTATTCAGAGCCTGAATTGTTCCTTTTTTTTGCATTTGTGATTTATTTAATTCCTTTAGGCGAATCAATTTTAACCCCTTCTGCCTTCCTTTATCTTACTACAGTATTGAATCTTGGTCCTTAATCTTTCTCTCTGACTCCAGGATTGAGCAGTTTCCAACAGAGTGTGGCAATGGACAGGATCCAGCGCATTGTAGGTGTTTTGCAGAAGCCTCAGATGGGGTAAGTCCACCTGATTCTTTCCCCAGTACCATATAAAAAGGAGATCTCTCCAATCCTTTCTTGTTTCTTTTTTAATTCTTGTTTTGTTTTAATGTCCTTTTCATAGGGAGCGTTATCTAGGAACCCTGCTACAAGTAGAAGGGATGTTGAAGACTTGGTTTCCTCATATAGCTGCCCAGAAGTCATCACTGGGTGGTAGCAGGCACCGGATGGCCAAGGTAAGAACTTAAACCCTAACAAAGAAGCAGGAGAATAATGGAGGAAAGGGAATTCATGCATTTTCTTCTGGATCTTTTCCTCAAGTTTCTCTTAGGAAAGGAATGCCTAAACTTCCTGCATTGTCTTAATTCCTAGATGATTTTTGTTCTATTTTGTTTGGATCACTAGGCAGAACTCCACAAAGTTTAATCCTGTCCCTCATGTGGCAGTGAATCTGCTTTCTGTACAGATACAGAAGGCGTTTTTTTTTTTTTTTTACCTGGACAAATTATTTATGCAGGAAGATGCCTCAGCTTCTTTCTGTAAACTCTTTCTTCCTTGCTGCCCCTAAAACTCTCGCCCTCTCCCTCTTTTGACTCCAGTACAAGTATCCTTGTATCAAATCCTCTGGAGGCCTATAAGTCTACACTGGGTTTCAAGGACTGGTCATAAGAGRTATATCACTGGGAATCCGGGAGAGGGCACCTATGGGGCATCCATGAGAAGAGTGTTGAATAGATTCTTGGACCTGATGTGGAAGTGACCTTTTTTCTGTGCATTCAAATAACAGGATATTTAGAGGGCATTCGAGTAATGGGGGGGGGTGTCCTTGATAATGACCTATCCTTGTGTTCAATCAATAGCAGTTACYAATGCTGTGAAAATAACTTGATTAAAAAATGAGTAGAATGGTTTGGGGTTATAGCTTAGTGGCAGAGCACTAGCCTAGCATGCGTGAGGCACTGGGTTCAATCCTCAGCACTAYATAAAAATAAAACAAATGAAATAAAGGCATTCTGTCCCATCTACAACTACAAAAAAATTTTAAAAAACAAGCTGGCTGCAGTGGCTAAGGCCTGTAATCTCAGCAGCTCAGRAGGCCGAGGCAGGAGGATTTCAAGTTTAAAGCCAGCCTCAGCAGCTTATTGATGCCCTAGGCAACTTAGTGAGACCCTGTCTCTAAATAAAACATTAAAAAGGACTGGTGATGTGGCGCAGTGGTTAAGTGGGTTTAATCCCTGGTACTGAACAGAAATAAATAAGTAGAGGGATCTTGCCTGAATATTAATTTATACTTCATAAAACATTCAACATAGAAAATTAGAATTTAAAATAGAGGGCTGGGGCTGTGGCTCAGAGGTAGAGCACTYGCCTAGTAGGCATGAGATACTGGATTTGATCCTAGCACCACATAGAAAATAAAATATATTGTGTCCACCTATAACTAAAAAAAAATTAAAAATWAAAATAAAATATAGAAATTGTGGAATGATGTTTTCAATTAAAAATCCACTTTTTTTTTTTTAAATAGTTAGGCACAGTACTACATGCCTGTAATCCCAGCTACTCAGAAAGCAGGGGCAGGAGGATCAYAAGTTTGAGGCCAGCCTTAGCAAAAACAAAACAACTTTTCTTTAAATAAATTCTACATTGGATATGGTGGAACATGTCTATAATCCCAGCTACTGGGGAGGCTGAGGCAGGAAGATCTCAAGTTTAAGGCTAGCCTCAGCAATTTAGCAAGGCTCTCAGCAACTTAATGAGACCCTATATAAAAAAAATCATATATATATATATATATACACACACACACACACACACACACACACACACACACATCTGAAAGGAATTGTTTTATAAATAGTGAGAATCTGTAGGACTATTTGTTGAATATCCAGTGTCTTATATAGTATGTGGCACATAGTAGGCTCTCAACTATTTGCTGAATAAATGAAAGTATAACTTGATTACTAAAAATTTTACTTAGTATGTTCYTGCCAGGTAAGAACACATTATCTGTTGCACAAAACAAGGTATGTTTGCACTGCAAACCGAGTTACCAAAGAAAGCAAAGTTTTAAACAATAATGTTGGAATCAGTCTGAAAACTTTCTTCACAGTTTTTTTTTCTTATTTCACTCCTTCCCTAGCATTTTCCAAGCCACCACAGTAATGAAACTACTTCCTYTTCTGCTCCTCCTCTGGAAAAGATGGGCCCGACACAGCTAGGACATTTAGTTTTTAAACCAAAGCAGCCTTGGCACCTCACAGAATGGCCAGCTATGAACCTCACCTGGATCCACACCACCCCTATTTGCAACCCCCCTCTAAGTTCCCCGGGTACCCTATCTTTTAGCCATGATCCTGTAGGCACTGGGACCAGCATTGGTGTCATCCTTTTCGTCCAGCATGGAGTGCAGTCCTTCACCCACTCTGCTCCTGCCACTCCAGTTCCATCCACTACAGCATCTACTGGTGATCCGAAGAGACTGTCTGGAGAGGGACCTCGCTGTCACAGTTTGCCAGTAACCCTGCCGACAGACTGGGACTGCMCTGTGTCCTCTGCTGGTCTACCCACCATGGCCAGTGAGATGCACAAAGGACACATAGAGGAGCAGCTGAAAAGCTGCCCTCCAGTTGTTTCTGATGCCTGTCTCCTCAACCCCTAACCCACCTATGCAGTTGTCCTCTGTGATCCCCAATTTGTATAAATATATGTACATATATATATAGATTTTTTACTTTTAATGTGTGTGTTTGTGTTTAGAGGAGATAAATCCTTTCTGATTAAATAAATTATTTACCTAAACACTTTGGGGTACATTGAAAACTTTCTGCCTCACATACCGATCTTTATCCTCCAAGTTGCAGAAAAGATGAGATGGGAATGTTTGTGAGTATGAGCTCCACCAAGTTAGAGTCTGGATGGGATGATAGAAATCTGGGGGAGAAGTAAAGAGACTCCTGCTGCTGTTTTCTGAGGGAACAGCCTTAGGACAGTTACAGGATTCAAAGTTGGGTTTCCTTTTATTTTTTTTCAGGTTCAGAGACTAGTACCTTTCCCTTTGTGTCTCTCCCCTGTGTAATCTTCTAGCAGGTTCTTCTGCTCTGGGATATCTCTTTGCTTTGATGGGAGATGTTGGTGCTTATGGATAAATGCATAACCTTGTGCTGCCAGAGGAGGGGCCCAAGAGCCAAAACAACTATTGCTGGAGTAGCTCAAAGTCCCTTCAAACACTGGGCCTCAAAGAACAAACAAACAAAAAACCACTGGGCCTCATCTTTATTCAAAACACTGTACCTGCTAGGTGTAACTAGACTAAGGAAGGCTACCCATTATCTTCAGGAGGCAAAAATTAAGTCCATGAATATATCTGTTTCTACCCTTCTCTCAATATTACTCTATTTCTGATCTTTCCCAATTTCCACGAAAACTATTTCCTCTCCATGATTATTTCCCATATAAGTAAAATCAGGTCTCTCCACTTTGAAAACATTTGTTGAGCCCTGCATGGTAGTGTACTCCAACAACTCCTAGCAACTTGGGAGGCCAAGGCAGGAAGATCACGAAACCAGCTGGTGATTTAGCAAGACTCTGCCCCCCTCCCCAAAAAAGGCCTGGGTATATGGCTCAGTGGTAGAGTGCCCCTGGGTTTAATTCCTTCAAAAAGAAGGAAGGAAGGAAGGAAGACATCTTCAATCTGATTGTCCTCTTTCTCTTCCTTTCTCCATAATTTTCCCAAGTCCATAATCCTTCCCCCTTCCTGGTACTGGGGATTGAACCCAGGTCCTTACATGTGCTAGCAAGCACTCCCTCATTGAGCTCCATCCCTAACCCTTTTTATTTTATTTTGAGACAGAGTCTTGCAAAGTTTCCAAGGCTGGCCTCCAACTAATGATCCTCCTGCCTCAGCCTTCTGGCTTGTTGGGATTACAGGTGTGCCCCATCATGCCTGGCTCCACTACATTTAGTTTGTTGCACCTTCCAGAGTCACCAATGATCTCACAGAACCAGTATTATAATGCAGCTTCCATCTAATCAACAGCTTAGTCCAGGGTCCTTTACCAAGGGTATGTACTTCATGTTCTCTGTATCATTTGACACTCGATTCTGCCTACTGAAACTCTCCTCCCTTGGATCCCATGACAGCACACTATCCTAATTCTCCTCTTACCTAACTGGCAGCAAGTTCTGAGTTTCTTAATGGCTCCACTTGCACCTAATACAAAGTGTGTGGTTTCTCCTAGGTTCAGACCATAGCCTTTTTCTCTGACTATATTCTTTCACATAAAAGTTTCATTTTCTTTCATGGGTTTAATTATTGCCTCAATTTTAATGAGTGCTAAATCTCCATTTCCATTCCCAACCTTTCCCATAAGAAGGTATTTGAATATATAAATTTCTGTTGGATAGTTTTATATATTGCTGGCACAAAATTATTGAACACATCAGCATTCTAGATATAAGATGCAATTTTTGTATCTAATTCAACTTAATGCCCTTATTTTATAGATAAGAAAACAGATGTGTCTAAGCCAACAATGTGTGGTACAGAATTCTTAGTTTCCAGTCTCATGCTTTTTCCAGTGATGGCCAATAAAATTACTTCCCATTTTTATAATCTCCTCTCCAGTTAGTGCTATCTAGGGAGGTAACATTTTTCTAGTTAACTAGGCTTAAACTTGGTACCATTTGGTCACCAGGTCCTTTTTGTTCTTTATTTGAAATATTTCTTCCATTTCTTCCTATCCATTCCATTGCCATCACTCTATTTTCCCTATAGAAAAAGTCTCTTATCTCTAATACCTTTTCAGTGACAGATTAATTTTCTTAGAACCATGCTTTGCCTGTCCTTCCTTTATCATCAAGTCCTTCAATTTCTCCCAATATCATGAGAAGAATGTACAAAATCTTTAGTCAAAATCTGTATTTTTTCCTCTGCTCCCCTGCACAATCCTTCTGCTCCAGAATCTATACTGTACACCCTTCTTGCTTCTAAACTCTTGTTCATGTGGTTCACTTTACCCACCTTTTCTGTTTCTGTTATCCAAGCCCTACCTTTCATTCAGTGACTAATTCAAGTCTCTCTCCCATTATTTATATTCACTTGCTTGTTTACTTATTTATTTATTTATACTGGGAATTGAACTCAAGGCACTTTGTTATTGAGCCACCCTGAAATGAGGTCTTGCTAAGCTGCTGATGCTGGCCTTGAACTTGTAATTCTTTTGCTTTAGGCTCTCTAGTAGCTGGAATTGCAAGTGTGGGCCACAGCCTCCAGCATCATTCTTGCTGTTAAATATGCTAAACACACCAAATACACTGTATCTTTTTACATTTGACCCTTTTGACGCCTATGAGAAATTTTGTTAGATTGATAGTRCAGATTCTAATGCTGTTTTATAGATGAGAAAATAGACTGAGTTCACTTTTTTGTGGTGTGATGCTGAGAATCAAACCCAGGGCCTTGTGCTTGCTAGATAAGTGCACTACCACTTAGCCACATCCTAAGCCCTAGACTGAGTTCAAATTTGGCAGAAGCCAAATAGTAAATATTTTAGGTTTAGGTCATATATACCTGGTTCCCCTACCCAAGTCTGTCATTGTAACCCAAAGTAACTATACTTAATAAATACGCAATGAGCATATACTTCCAATACTTTTATTTACAAAAAGAGATGGGCTGGTTTGGCCTGCAGTAGTTTACAGACTCTTGGTTGATTGGTTGGTTGATTTGTCTTGTGTGTGCTCGCCTGCGCTGAGGACTGAACCCAGGGATGCTTTACAACTGAGCTTCAACCCAGACCATTTTTATTTTTGAGACAGGGTCTTACTAAGTTGCTAAACTCTTGCTAACTTACCCAGATTGGTCTCAAACTTTCGACCCTCCTGCGCATGCGTTCTAAGTTGCTGGAATTACAGAAGTGTGCTACCATACCCAGCCAAACCCCTGATTTAAGTGACTTGTTCAAAGCCTAATGTATGATGAGTATCAGAATTGGGATATAATACAGACCATCTGACTTCTAATCCAGTATCTTTCCATCATATTATGCTGTTGCCTATGTAATTTATTTTGCATATGTTATATGTTACCTTGTGTCACTATTTATCTTTTATGTCCACATACTGTCTTTTAGTGATGCAAGAGGCACTGGAATGATACCAACAGTACTGGGCACAGASTAAGCATTCAATAAAAAGTTTGTGATAATCATAATGATAACCCAGTCTACCTATATTTTGGTACTTTGGACCTGGATTACTCTGAAGTAGGCTTAAGGGATTTTTTTTTTTTTTTTTTCTTTTTAGTAGTACTGGAGACTGAGTCCAGAGGTCCTCCACCACTGAGCTACATTCTCAGCCCTTTATTTTGACACAGAGTTTCACAAGTTGCTGAGGCCTTGAACTTGCCATTCTCTTGCCTCAGTCTTGGGACCCACTGGAATTCAGGTGTGTTTCCCCACACCTGAATAGGCTTATGTTTTTGTATGAGTTCCTGTTAGTATAGTTGATGAGAAGATGTCTCTCTCTATGAATTCTAGATGAGTTGTTTTCCCTGTAATCTTTAGATCTGAACTTACGTGAATAACCATAAACAGATATGTAGAAATAATATACAAATAAATAATTCCACGATGTGGAAGAAATAAAAAAGAAAATATTTCTAGCAGGTCTTACTAGGAGTCAAATGGCAAAACCGACATACAACATTTTTTATTCTAAATCCTGCAGGTATTTCCCATGTCTTTATTTAGTGATTTCTCTTAATTTAGTGAAATGGTTAGAAAGATGATGTTATAGTAGATTCACGGTATGTTCACTTTTCTCTCCCACTTTCCCTTAGTTTCGAGGCAGACGAAGGGTATGAGGCTGTTTTTCTTCGGGGACGGACGGCAGATCTATGTTCTTGCCCCCCCCCCCAAAAAAAAATAACAAAAAACCCCCACAACGACAACCGGGAAGCATGCTCAGGAAGCGTTGCYTATTTCTCATTCTCCATCCAGGAATGTGAACGGCTTGAATATTAAGGGTTCAGTAGGATCAAGGGGAACGGACTCGGGCCGACCGTCTCCGAGGCCGAAGGATCTGGACTCCGTAGAGGGCTGGGAACGTGTTCCGGCGAAATCTGAGTCCAGCCTTTCGCTCGGTCAGGTGTGGAGTCCAGGCCCGGGGCAAGGAGAGGACGTCCACCCAAGCCTGAAAGCGCGTTGCCATGGTTTCCCGAGCTYGATTCCTCCCTACGCCCCCGGCTTCGCGCGCGGCGCTGGGGATTCCGTAGTTTCCGCTTCCGGTCGCGAGCGCCGGGGTCGGGCGCGTTCTGAGGGTGCCGGGTGAGGGACTCCCTCCGCGGTCGGGAAGCCTCGGAGGGCCTGGGGAGGGCCGGTCTGCACGGCGGCCCCTCCCCCACGCCCGGCAGACTCCCTGTCCCGTGAGCGGTCGCTGGACCTGCGGCGCGCCCCTGCCCAGGCCGTCCCCCCGCGCCCGGCGACCTCGGTGGCGAAGCCTGGCTACCCTTGGTTTCCCCCGTTTTCTCGGGTCCTGAAGAGTGAAGACCTAAATCCAAGGTCATGGCAAAGCACCTGAAGTTCATTGCCAGGACTGTGATGGTACACGAAGGGAACGTGGAAGGTGCATACAGAACCCTGAACAGGTAACTACGTAAAGGGATCAGAAACAGGACTGGGTGGACTCTCTGGGAAGTGAGGTCGTTACCCACCCATACACACCCATCACGGATTGTTCTCAAACCAGTGCCAACCCA